TTTTTCAAGGATAGAATACAATACTTAGGGCCGGTTTATTCACCTCCTGATAAACTCTCAGGTATGCAATTTGACGAATGAAAACGCAATCGCTGTAATCCCATTGGTCGGCCCAGTTATCCGCTGAGCAAAGCTGCAATATAATAGAATTTTTCATCATATTTTTAAAATAATCTGAACTATGTCCATTTCAGCAAGGATTTATTTATTAATTTCAATATTATTATACCCATAATAAATTGATGAATCATCACTGAAAAATGTACAAATAAAAATACCACAAAGTTGATAAAAAAAAAAAGGATACAGGGTAATGTAAACTTGTTTCTTTTCTTATTTATGACTATAAAAAAAAGGTTCCGTAAATCATCATACCGCAGTAGGTTATTTGCCCTTGTGGAAGAATGAACTATTAAAAAAATAATGAAATATTTCACAGAATTTCTCAATTATTGATTAGTGTACCTACAAATTGATGTAAACGGCTCTTGGACTGCCGATACTTCAAACAACTGAATGCAAAATAAGGAAGGAATCTCAGAAATCTATCTACAACATTGGGTATATGGTGTATGAAGGGCTGAATAATTAATTTGATGATAAGTAAAGTTTTGATATGTGGAATACCAAACACGTTAGTTCTCAATCTCAATGGGTGAGTTTATTGTATTGAAATAGGTATTTCATGTTCTATATATTGTGATTACCATTTTAGCATATTTTCTGAAAGCACATTAGGTACAATGTGAAAATTCATTATCAAACAAGTTGTCAAAATACCAAGCAAAATACGTACTATAATAACAGATTTCTTCAGGAGCTATGATCTCCAACTATACCCTTCAGGCACGTCACAGGTCCTAGAAAGTACATTTATGCACTTACCATCAACCTTCCAAAGGAATTACTTTCTGTTTTTTTTTTTTTTTTTAGGTGTGAACTACTAGAAAGGACCCCGCACACCTCTTATGGGTTTTTGGTTTTCTGTCAAACTCAATGAAATTTTAATATGTGATAGACCTTGACTTCCTGATAAAAAGTTCTCATGGGCCCGAACCAATCCTATGATTAGTTTTTGAAATACAGGTACTTTAATGTCCAAGAAATGTACACATTTTATATGTATTCACATCTACCTGTCACCTAATAATAGGTTTAATTCTGCAAAAAGCACGAACCCGTCAGAGCGATTTTGATTGGTCGAAAACAGTTAGAAACAGTCAGAAAACTAGTTTCAACCAATGAAATTCACTCTGACAGACCTATTAATAGGTGACAGGTAGATGTGAATGCATATGTGAAAAGGTGCTCGAGTTATTCATTAAACAACAACTGCTGACCCACATAAATACCAATAATATCCTAATTGAAAACCAGTCTGGCTTCCGCGAAAAACATTCGTGTGAAACAGCCATTCAATTGGTAGTGACTAAATGGAAAGAAGCATTGGATTCAAACAAAATGGTTTTGACTGTTTTCATTGACTTTAAAAGAGCATTCGAAACTATTGATAGGTCAATATTAATCAAGAAATTAGAAAGGTACGGTGTAGTTGATAAGGCCAGTAAATGGTTTACTAGTTATTTATCTAATAGGTGTCAAAAGGTCAAAATTGGTAATTTATTGTCAGAAACAGAAAGAGTAGTACTTGGTGTCCCTTGTTTGTTGTTTATTGCTTATGTTAATGATATTTCTGAATGTGTTGATGAAGATATAATGATTAATTTGTTTGCTGATGATACAGCCATTTCTGTGATAGGGGAATCAATAGAATTAGTTGTAAAGAAAATGCAGGATGCTTTAAATAAACTAGAAAGATGGATGGTAAATAATAAATTATTTGTAAATATTAAAAAAACAAAGGGCATGTTGTTTACAACAAAATATAATGTGATAAATCCTGAATTGAAAATGTTCAACGAAAATATAGATTTTGTAAATGAATGTAAATATTTAGGTTTAATTATTGACAAACATTTAAAGTTTAGTAAACATGTTGAATACATATCAGATAAGGTCAGCAAGCGAATAAATTTCTTTAGTAGAATTTGTAAGAATCTATCATATATGTCAAGAATACATGTATATAAAACTCTTATAGCGCCTCTCTTCGAGTATTGCCCAACGATCTTACTGTATAGTAACGATTGTGATAAGCAAAAGCTTCAAGTTCAACAGAATAGAGCTATGAGGGCAATATTGCAAGTGAATAGGTATGCCAGTGTAAGGAGTATGTTGGAATGTCTCTGTTTTATGAGTGTAAATCAAAGATTAGTTTTCAATAATTTATTATTTATTTATAAAATTGTAAACAGATTGTTACCTGATTACATGGTAAGTAGAATTATATTTGTCAATGATGTACATCTGTACAATACCAGAACATCGCGTAATATATTCATTCCAACTGCAAAAAAGGCATTAACTCAGAAATCATTGTTTTACAGGGGTCTTACTATGTACAATGGATTACCATTACATATAAGAGAAATGAAAGGTTTGAATGAATTTAAAAGAAATTTAAGTATTTTTGTTAAGCAAAATTATAGCTAAATTCGGAATTTTGTTAAAGTATAAGTTAGGCTAAGAAATGGGAAATTGTGATAATTTATTAATTTATATATAATGATTTATTGTTGTTAATTGTATAGCACTGATGCTAAATAAACGAAGTTATTATTATTATTATTATATAAAAGGTGTACATTTCTTGGACATTTAACCACCTGTATTTCAGAAACTATTCATAGTATCGGGTTGGGCCCATAAGAACTTTTTATCAGTAAGTCAAGATATACCACATATCAAAATTTCATTGAGTTTGACAGAAAACCAAAAACCCATAAGAGGTGTGCGGGGTCCTTTGGTGAGCTAATTCTATTTGCGTAAGTTTGGTATTGGACTTTGAGCATTTGGCTGTTACTATTTTCAATAACTCTCTCTCTAAATGATTTATCTATTTTTTACTAATTGAAATTGCGTTTCACTGATATCCAGGACAACAACTCATGGTTTGATTATTTCTTTTTGGTATTTGGTGGCCCCTGGGGAAGCCTAATGTCATAGTTGTCCTGGATCCTGTTTGTTACATGATTACACTATTTAGGGTAAGTGTAGCAGTGGTGGCACTACCAAATGCCGGCCAGAAATGGTCGAATTATGCTTGGCTGTTGGATGTCAGCTGCACAATGCGGTTTCAAGTGAATTCAGCCTAATGGGGCATATAAGAATAGCTGAATGCCCTCCAAACTTTTCCAGGCAAAATTGTTTTTGTGTTTTCCAGATGAAAGAGTCAAGTGATCAGGTTCTATGTGGAACAGAAATATTCTTGTTTGAAGAAGATTATTCTGAAAGAGGAACAGTGCAAGTAGTATGTTTTTTTGTGTGTTTAGTTTAGGTTGGAATCATTATATATCATCATCACGCAGCCTCCTGGGTCCACTACTGAAGATAGACCTCTTCAAGTATTATTTCCAGGTCTTTCTTTTCTAGGCAGTTGAAATCTGATTTGTCTTGATTCTTTCCAGCTCACTCATCATGCCATTAGGAAGGTATTTTTTTTGCAGTTTCATGGACCATCTCCACACCTCAATCTAGCAACATGTTTGGCTCACAAATGACCACCTTCAATGCCTAAGAACCTTTGGTGGCTATTTTCAGAAAATTCAAATGAACAGAGGTTTTATGGATTAGAAGCTAGTTTGTCTATAAGAAGGTAATTTTCAAACTTCAACATAATTTTTCCAGAAGGTATTTGGTAACTTCTGATTATTTATAGATATGATTACTATTTTTTAACCTGCTAAGTTTTTTGATTAAAAAAATACAAGATACGGAAAAAAAATCACCTTTTCAACAGACTTTTTCATAAGCTATGATCCTAACTGCCCTTCAGGCAGACCAGTCCATGTATGCTTTTATCAACCTTCCAGAGGAATTAAATTTTGTTTTTTCTTTTTCAGGTGTGACAGGTACAGGAACCAGAACTTCGGTAAGCTACTTCTGGTTAGGGAAATGTGACTTTGAGCATTTGGCTGTAGATATTTTCAATAACTCTCTCTTTGAATAGTTACTATTTTTTACTAATCGAAATTGCATTTCGCTGATATCCAGGACAACAATTCATAGCCCAAAAATCCCATGTTCGATTAGGTGTGCATTATGCCTTCAGGGAAAACCCCAAAATTTTTGTATTTACAATTTTTTGATAACCCCTGTAGTGGGGGGGTCAATATATGGGAAAAGACTCTGTACATGGGATTAGATTCATACTAACAGGGAAGATTAAAGGTGTTGTCAGTAGACAGTAACAGGGTCACACCAGTGGCGTACACTTGATCGACCCATGGATAGAGATGATTACTTATATGAAAATATACAATAGTATATTGTTGTATTAGGAGTAGAAGCTTTACTTTTTTGTGCTGAAGCAATACTGCTGAAGCACAAAAAAGTGCTTCTGCCCCGTATGCAACACACAATTTTTTCTCCAAACTAATGGGGTAAGCTCGGGGGCAAGTGAATGGTTGAGCGGCAGTAAAAGTACGAGCGGCACTAAAAGTACTTTTGCTGCCGCTGGGGTTGCCAAGCAGCATAGAAATTAAACTTCTACCACCTCGACAGGTGTTAACCCGCTGGATTTACCTGGCAGCATAGAAATCAAATTTCTGACATCCTGACAGGGGTTAACAAAGTGACGTTTTTTTGACGTTTGGAAAAAAAATTATATAATCACATGACAATTATTCAGAAACTGTAGCGTGTGTTTGTCTACATTTTGCACCCACACCTATCTCACCTGTTTGAAAAGATACCCAGTCAAATGGGAAAGTTGTAGGTAATATCAGAAAGTTTGTTAGTTACAAGTATACAGGGTTATCAAGATAAAATTACTACACTGTACAATGTTATCATTACACCTGAGATGTTTTGCAACTAACTTAAAACTAAAACCAAAGATATCCGAATCTTAAATTTCCATTACATATAAACAAATTTACCTTCAGATTCAACATGTTATTTTCTTCTTTTAATCCCTCCATTTTCACCATGACCTCCTTCCTTTCCTGTGTAAACATCTCGATTTTCTGCAACAATTCAGCTGTGTCTTCACTCAGCTGTAGTACACTTTCATTTAGTTCAGCTGGAGGATCAGCGCCTTCGTCGTCAGCACATTTGCCCAAGGAACCTTCTGGATTGATGTGCTTTTGATAGGCAGCCAATTCAAGTTTTTCTTGTTGAGTCAGCCCTTCTACCATCTCGATGCTTTCTGCTGATGATAACTTTTCAGCGCTCAGTTTTTCAAGTTTGTCAATTAGATCCATGTTTTCTTGTATGTAAAAATCTAATTTTGTGTTTAAATCTTGTTTTTCCTTTTTTAAATTATCTAGTTCTTGCAAAATGATTTCCTTTTCTAGGTTTGAAGTATTTAATTGGTCTAGTAATTTTTTTTTGTCTATTTCCAAGGTTTCAATTTGTTCTTCATAATATATAGAGGACATTTCTGTTGAAACTTGTGTGCTGATCTTAATGGTTTCTTCATTTTTCTGTTGCAAATCATTTTTCAATTTTAACATTTCTTCATTCACTGCTTCAATGAGTTTATTTTTTTCAGTTAATTCTTGTTCTGCTTCAGCAAGCTTCTCTTTTAGCCGCTTCAGTTCTTCTTCGATTTCTGGGAAGTCATCTTTGGAGCTTGTAGTAGAATCCACCATTTTCAATTGCAAATTACCTTTTTCATCTTCCAGCTCTGCAATTTTTTCATTTAATTTAGCATTATCGTTTTGCAGTTGAGCTATCAGAGCGTTGGCATCGTTCATTTTCCTAAACTGGTCCAACTTTTTGTTTAATTCTTTAATTTTTCCCTTTTGAATTGCCCTTACTTTTATCATGCTTTTGTTGCTTTCTTCTAATTGCTTTTTTAATTTGGTGATTTCATTTTCTGCAGGGTTTTTATTAGCTGATCCTCCCATGCCGGTGTTTTTTAAGAGTTTCAATTCAGTCAGGGCATCTTCTAATTCTTGTTGGATTTTTGAAGGTGAAGCAAGAACACTTTTGGTTTCTTCTAATTGGCTTTCTAGGTCAGCAATTTTGATTAGATTTATTTTTTCAGATTCTATAGCTTGTTGAAGCTGTGACTCTAATTGAGAAATTTTCAAAGTATAAGCACTATTTTCAAATTCTTCAGTTTTATTATATGTTGGTGGACAAGGTTTTTGTTGCAATTCACTTTCTAATCTATTGCAAGTCTCTTGCAACTCACTTATTTCAAAGTTTTTCATTTTTAAATCATTTAAGAGTCCTAATTGTCTAGCTTTCATTTCAGCTTCTAATTTAATGAAATGCTCTTGCATTTTTCGCATTTGTTCCTTAGTTTCGTCCAAGGTGTCCAAAGTGTTTTTACCTTTTTTACTCAAACTGTCCATCATTAGTGTTATAGCTTTGGTTCTAGCATCGATAACAGAATCTTTTTCTTTTAAATTTTCTTGTAAATCCATTACAGAAGCTTCTAATTGTTGATTTTCATTCATTAGTTCTGTGATTCGTTTTTCTTTGGTTAATAGAATGTTGTACAATTCTTTTTGGGATGTGCTTTCACTATAGCTTTTAATGTCAACTGAAGAAGCACTTGTTGGCGTTTGAAGCTCAGAATCTTTTATTTGGGCTTGAAACTGGGTTACCATTTCCTCAATGCCTTTGTGGCTTTTGCCTCTTTCAGCCAATCTAGCCCTAAATAGTTTAGGCAATAAGTAAAAAAGAAAAAATGTGGATTTGCTTAAAGCTTACTTGTTTTCCTCAAGCTGTTGCCTTACTAAATCAACTCTTTTAGTTGTAGACGTGCTGGTGCTTGCACTGGATTCATTCTTGTTTTGCTTGGATTTTTTTGCCCTTGGTAGAGAATTAACATACTCTTGTACCTATAAATGTTGTGTATTTTACAATTGGGCCTTAATTCTTGACTATTGTTTACCTTATCATGCGAAACAGTGCTCTGTTCCTTTCTGAGCATTTCCTTGAGTTGAGCAATGAGGACCAATTGTTGCTCGTTCTGATCCTTTAGCTGAGTGAGTTGCTGAGGCGATGGGCCTTTGCCTGTCCCTCCAGGATCAGGGTTTTGCTGATCCTCCCACATGACGTCTGGTTATCTGAACCTAGTGACAGTGTAAATTATAGGTTGATAATTAAATTATATGCGAAAATCTTACCGAATCGTTTTGGATTTTTAATTAGAATATGTTTTTTAAAAATTGGTTTTCTACTAAACAAACTTCCACGTCCACCATAGTTTTCTTTTGGCAAGAATGACGTTTTTTTGAGTGGCAACATCTGTTCAAAAATAGAGGAGCTTACTGTATCGATAAGATATATCGATAAATATTTGAAACAGGGAACCGCGGGTAGTGTAGTGGCCAGTGGACTCGGATTACGACGAGTAGAATTCTACTCTCATGACGCCACCCGCGACTCATTAATCGCGTACCAGTACAGGCGATGACGATAGTTGCTAGGTAACCTGACGTCATGAAAGTAGAATTCTACTTGTCGTGATCCCAGCCCCCGGACCGGAACGATATTGAACCGAAAACCGGAACGGAACCGTTTTTTTTTTGCGAACTGCAACCGGAACAAAACTTATATTTTATTATAGAAATGTTGTAGGGTAGGCAGAACCGAAACCGATATAAATTAATCGGTTCTTACCGGTATTTTTTGGTTTCAAGATTTTATAAATTAGGCTGTTTGCTGTTCATATTATAATAAATTTAACACTCAAAAGCAGAGCGTTGGAAAGCGCGCATTTCTGAACTCGGCTAGGCTACACCAAGGATCTTACACACTACTAGGTACAGATTGCTCATCGGCCTCGATTTTTGGAATCAAGTTCATATGGTGTTGCACCGTTGTCGACGTCATCAAGGGTGTCGTTAGCAGTTTGCGCCAGCAGTCGTATATATAATTTTATGATGAAAACTATTATTCAATTTTGAATAACATAATAGGTAAGAGGAAGGTGCAAACGAGATCTAAACATGGGTTGAATATTAAATAAAGGGGGTATGCGCCAAAAATTTTAGTTTTAGTGTAAAAAAAATCATCTGCTGCGCCGTACGCAGTGATATACACGTGGTAAAAATGAAACTTCTTAAAAACTGCCCTTACAACTTTTAAATTAACAGCGATTTCCATTTGTCGAACCAGTGCAAAAAAAATGTATCCATATCCTTACATATTACATGCTTTTGGGAAAAGATGGGGATACACTCAGTGCGCACTGATTGACAAATAGAAATAGCCATAATGGTCAGTTAACATTTTTTTAACTGCAAGTGTAGTGTCTAATGTTGATTTGACACGTTGAGGACCGGTTTATCAGTGAACGATTATTTAGTTTAGCTGTCAAATAACTCATAATTAATTATTAGCTAACCGACAGATAGCCGTTCACTGATAAACCGGTCCTGAGTGTGAATAATGGCCGTTTTCACCAACTATTTTAGGGGAGCCCTAACGATAAGTATTCCCTAAAATGACATTTTTACAAGGAGAAATGTCAGTTTAAGGCATACCTATCGTTAGAGCTTCCCTAAAATAAGTGGTGGAAATGGCCACAAAAAATACTTTAAACAGTGAAATAGAACACGATTTAATTAACGGCCGGTTTACATTTTAAGTGCAAGTGTCCAGTGTCAAATTAATGTTAATTTGACATGTTGAGTGTTATCAGAAAAATAAAACACGATTTAATTTATTTGCACTTGTAGCTTGCACTTATCACTTAAGACTAATCACTTGACTGATCCGTTTACAATTCGGCAACTAAATACTAGCACTAAACACCTGCACTACTTGCTCCTAATCAAAGTGTAAACAGGCCTTTAGCGTATGAGTCAGGGTAAAGACTATCATGGGTAAAGACGAAGGGAGACGCGTATCTGTGGTGATGTCACAAGGGTATCAGCGCCAATGAACTACATATATTATGATATATTATATGCTACACGTAACTGGAACAGCTACTTTCAATGTCCATTTTTGAGGCAAATTTTATGGTAGTGAGAACGACAATAAAAGGGGTCGTTTGGAGTTTGTTCTATCGCACACGTACCATCGTCACCAAAAGTAACTGGGACAGCATTATATTAGCTCTTGTACTATTATACAGGGTGTCCCACGGTGGATGGCGTATTAGACGTTTATGGAGAACTAAAAAGCGGATATTTTGAAAATTTGGCAACCGGGATAAACGAATATGATCTACACTTTAAAAATATTTTTGACCATGCGGTGTTGCCGCTTCTACTCTAAACTAGTGGCAACATCACTATTTTAAATGGAACACCCCGTATTAAATTGCATATTTGGATTCTACGTAAAATTCTAAGCAGATTTCATGTGATATACCCTATACCTAAGTTCAACTGTTTTGGAAATATTGACAGTTGAAAATTGACTTTTTACAACTTTGACAGGCTGTAGAACCTGAACGGTTAACTTTAGAAGAAAACCGATTTTACATTCCTATCTTAGATTTTTATAAACTATCATTTAACACCAACTTAGAATTAAATCCATGATTAAAAATTTCAGTTAAATTTAATCTCTGGTTAAGTTCAAAGTTGGTGTTAAATGATAGTTTATCAAAATCTAAGATAGGAATGTGGAATCGGTTTTCCTCTAAAATTAACCAATTAAGTTCTACAGCCTGTCAAAGTTGCAAAAAGTCAATTTTCAATTGTCAATATTTCCAAAACAGTTGAACTTAGGTATGGGTATATCACATGAAATCTGCTCGGAATTTTACGTAGAATCCAAATATGCAATTAAATACGGGGTGTTCCATTTAAAATAGTTATGTTGCCACTAGTTTAGAGTAGAAGCGGCAACACCGCATGGTCAAAAATATTTTTAAAGTGTAAATCATGGTCGTTTATCCCGGTTGCCAAATTTTCAAAATGATCCGCTTTTTAGTTCTCCATAAACGTCTAATACGCCATCCACCGTGGGACACCCTCTATGAATCTTTTTAGTGTCAAATATTTATCAAACTATGAATTAAGGGTGGGTATTATAAAACTGCTCTGACAGTTAACTTAAAGTTAACTTTTTGAATTACTTAATTCCAGAAGTTAACTTTAAGTTAACTCTCAAAGTAGTTTTATAATACCCGCCCTTAAATGCATTAAGGACGGGTATTATAAAACTACTTTGTGAGTTAACTTAAAGTTAACTTCTGGAATTACATGTAATTCAAAAAGTTAACTTCAAGTTAACTGTCGAAGCAGTTTTATAATACCCGCCCTAAAATGAATGACGGTTGAATTAGTCCAGGAGATTATTATGAATTATTTTTGTCCCAGATACTTTTGGATCTTTGCTTTTGGTGACGATGGTACATGTTTACGAGCTCAATGTTTATTTACTAGCAATTGTGGGTTATAATAAATCCCCCTAGCCTTGTCTAAGAATGCGTAGGACAAAGACGGCGAACCCTTTTGCTTTATTGAAAATTTGCCTCAGGCGTGATAAATTGGTGCCATTCCATTGATGTAGAATACATCACTGATCGGCGTTTGACTATTGGGCTGTTCATTTGTACTTGCTCTACCCGCTCGAAAATTTAAGAGATCTGCTGAGATCTGCTTGAAACAAGAAAAGCAGTTCAAATGAACACCCTAAATAATAGTTTATTTACGACTAATGTATAATGTGCGTATTATATTTGTGATTTTGGCAGTATAATGACATATGTTATTCCTCCAGGGATTAATGACGCGTAGCGGGATTAATGGTCATTATTCCACAATAAGAGTGTCAGTGTCAAACGTGTAGTGCTTGTGGATTTGTATTGAAAATTATGAGACGGATGCAATTTGTTCATTGAAAATCTCAGATAAATTAATTTGTCGTAAATAAAGTAGAGTATACTACTCGCAATAATGGCTATTATTCCCTCGGAATGTTACTCCCTCGCCGCTAACGCGGCTCAGTTCGTAAATATTCCTCGGGATTAATAGCTATCATTATTGACTCGTGGTATAATCTACTATTATAATCCTTGGTTTATGTCAATCGTTCATCGACTGTTAATGTCATTGGCTGTCTTTCTTCGTCCCTCTACGTTGTATATTCTTCTCTCTCGTGTAACGAAATTTACCAAACCGTGACGCGTCTTCCTTTCATGAGTCTCCATTCTCGTCCAAATATCAGAACGCCGCATAAAAAGTTTCATTAAAAAAAAAATTACAGTACACAGATCACAAAAATGTATAAACTATAAACGGAAATAACCGCAAAACACAATAATAATGGTATAATAACAGAGAGCATCTATAGTGACGTCACAATAGTATCGGCGCTAGTCAATACAGGCAATTTTTTCCACGCATATAATCCTTGTTTTGTGTCATTAGGTCTGTTCCCACAGGAGTCTCTGACAGTTTGCAAACTGTCGGTAAGCATCGCCCATGCATGTTTTCAATGCTGTGGTTACAAGATAAAACTGTAACTCAGCTGAGCGATTGTTTCTGACAGTTAGCAAACTGTCAGAGACTCCTGTGGGAACAGACCTAATATCGGCGCTTTTCAATAGTTGTATTCTTTGCAAGAGTTTGAAACACTCGAGCTACTCGCTCCGGTGTTTAGTCGCCCCCGATTTGCAGGGAACAGATGCGTGGTGCAACAAACACTTTTGGAAAGGAATAAGGGCGGGTATTATAAAACTACTTTGAGAATTAACTTAAAGTTAACTTCTGAAATTAAGTAATTCAAAAAGTTAACTTTAAGTTAACTGTCAAAGCAGTTCTATAATACCCGCCCTAAGCACGTGAAGCCCCGGAGCTGTTCCGGAGCTCGTCCTAGGTGTGAAAGGAATACAACTAATAATATGCAATCCTTTTTGCGCTTATGTCACAGCTTCTTATGTCCTTGGTTTGTGTCACTCGATAGCTGTCTTTCTCCGCCTCTCTACGTTATATCTTTTTTCTCTCTCGAGTAACGAAATTTCCCCGTGATGCGTTTTTTAAATCACTCTCCATTGTCGTCCAAATATCAAAACGCCGCATAAGAAGTTTCACTTCAAAAATCTAAGATTAAACCATCGCCGAGACATACCGACTTGAAGTATGTGTGACGTCACGAGAGCTTCGTCCAGCCGGGCTCCGCATTGTTTATTTGATTGTTCCCGGCACGCTGCAGTAGTTTTTGTTTAGAATATTGCAGGTGGCAAAGGAAAAACATATGTAAATTCAATGCACTTCACTATTTCGTGTGTCACTTGAACTATCGTGACGTCATAGGTGAGATGCGGTACCTCCATAGCGCCATATCTTCGGTATTATTTTTCATAGAGGGGTGTGGTTTTCACTGTATTAGATTTTTTTTCTCCTTTTTTTGAGATGAAGTTATTTTTTTGGCGCTCGCCTTCTTCAAATAATGTACTAAAACCAAATATGCATAAGCAAAAATCATCGTAATCCTAAACTGTCGTGCAAGCACCCTACGTCAAGGCGAGAAACGACACGCTGCCTACGTCATCACTGGTCGAAAATACGGAAAAAAAAAAGGGACATAAAGCTTCCGTATTTTTTGCTCGGTATCCGGCCGTATCGGTATCGTACTGCGCATGCGCAGAAGCGATACGGAGGCCGAGATACCGTACGTACAACGTAACGTTACAGCCCTCTCGCGGTATCCGTATCGGTCACGTATCTTGACATGCCTGACGCATGTGTCAAATTTTTAATTTGTTAATATACTTTCTTGAGTTTCTTGTGTGTTTAGTGCTTCTCTATCGCAAAAAAAAATAACAATTTTAAGGTTAGATATAAAAACACCGGAGTTTTGAGAAATTTTTTTCTAGATTATGAGATGCGTTTACGTTTACCGGAACAGGGAGCGCTTTAACAGCCTTTTCGCTTGTCAACGTATCTAGTTGCGTTACGGATACCGATACCGATACCGGCGAATTATTTCTAGTAGCTTTATGTCCCTATATCAATAATTAATAATTAATTAAACAGAATTAATTTCCCATTATCAAAAATTTTGTTTAGTCTTGGACCCAATGAGCTTATGGAACAAATTTCCTATTTCTTGCAACAAGTTTTACGAAACCTATTTTTCCAATGTGTCACCTGCCTTACATATTTCATAAGAAATATTTCATGAGGTGGATATGCAGAAAGGTGCTTCTAATAATTTTCACGTCCGGATTAATTTTAACCTCGGGGTAAACGTGTCCAGTTGCTATGTTTAACCAAGGATAATATACACTACTATGGATTGCTTTATCGGGTTCGTTTTTGGTAGTCGTTGCAATATTAAGTGTATCACCATTTCCGACGTCATAACTAAGTCGTCAGCTGTTTGCACTACCGGTCGTAGTTTAGAATTTAAACTTATGATGGAAAATTTTATTTCATTTTGATTAACATAATAGGCAAAGAGGAAGATGAAAACGAGATCTAAAAGAGAATTGTATCTTGTATCCAGTAAAACCATGTATGCATAAAGCAAAAGCCCGCGGAATCATAACCTATGGAGCAAACAGCCTACGTCAAGGCAAGAAAGGATATGCTACGTACGTCACAATTGATGTGGTGGGGGCCTTCAGTTTTGTGCCACATAGAACTTATGAGGATAGGCTATCCTGTAGTAGTTGTGTGTATCATCCTTGATCGAGTTATGCTTAAAGCTATATTTTCATCTTGCGTTCGGCTCAAAGAGCAGAGCGTGCTGAGCGGAGCCGTAATCCGTAATCACGTGACCAGCGAGCGAATCGAGCAGTTGAACGCTTAATCGAGGTGCTTTCCAGTGACCCATTTGAGTTACTCCTGAGCAGCTCAGGAGTACTCAACAATTGCTTTGCGCGTTCCAGTGCTTAGAGTGTCGTACACTTGAACTACTCATTTCTGTTATCCCCTGCCCCCTCGTGCACCAACCCTTTTGTCTGTGTTTCATGCTCCTGAAATCCGAAATGGTGGGGGTTAAGACGAGAGCGTTCCAGTGCTGCTTATGTCGAGCAGTTCAAGAGCGTCACACTTCAGGAGCATGATACTCTAACAATTTAGGCACTGGAAAGCGGCTCAGAGTGCTAGAAATTTTAATATAAAGTGCGTTTTTTTTTTTAAAGATAAAAGTCAAACTGACATTAGGTTGGCAATACAATGTAAAATTGTCAATGCTATCAAATTTTTCATGTAGAAAAGGCTTGTGTTGCCAACATAGTTACTAAATTTTTGACTTGGGGAATTATCTTTAAAAAAAAAACAGATTTTAAACGACTGCGAATGAGCTTGCACCGAGTACACTTTTTAAATAAACGAACGGTAAATCAAAGCTCGGAGAACTCAGATTAAAATACCGAACGCACGCTCAGTTGCGTGAAATTTGCTCTTTTTTTGTCATTGCTTCGAAAATTTGACGTTTTATGCGTGTATCAAACGTCAAATTGTCGGAGCAATGTCAAAAAAACAGCGAATTTCGCACAACTGAAGGCCGGTTTCTCAATAGCGAGTCAGCTCCGTGATGAGTGATCACTGTAGTGCTCCTCGGAGTCACTCCAAACCGCATATTTTGTGCATCAGTGAAAAGGGGGGTGCACTATGAGCGACTCAAGTGCTTAACACTTTTAAAAGCAACCTTCAAACTTCTGGCATTGAGCAGCTCCGAGTAACTCAACGGGTAAAAGGATTACAGTTATTGAGAAACCGACCCCCTAATTAAGTAAAAAAAAAAAATCAAAAATAAGGAATCATATTTTATCTCATATTAATATCGATATGAAAAAGAAGTAGAGATTTGAAAGAATATCGTATCGATAGCCGTGAATTATTGATAAGTCCTCCATCAGGGCGGCACGTCCCGGAGGCGAACTTAAATGACTCCTGTTCTATTTAGCTTCAGTTTAAATATAAATTTTTTCTTGATCGGGACCATTTAAGCTTAATCTGGCTCCAGAGCATTTATCTCAAAATAGACAAATGACAAATGAAAACGCCTAGAAATGTGCCACCTGTTTTCAAATCAATGAACTAATTATTAAAATTTTAATGAAATTAAATTGAAACAGTAATAAATATAAAACTAATAAAATGGGTTCACAGTAGTACATTTAAAAAGCAATTGCATATTACAATTTACTTGAATTTTATCATGGAGAGAGTGTAATTTAAATTAAAAATTTCTAGAATTTTCTGTCACATTAAATTTTTATTTGTCAACATATTCTGCTCTCCCTTTTTTCGGCCAGTTGAACAAGGAAAAACATTGATTCGAGAAAATTCCGGCTCGGCCTTTAAATGTCAATTGTCATTGTTTCAGAAAATTCGTTCATATATCTGACGTTCTGTTCTGACGATAGTCTGGAAAATTTTGTGGCCGGCACGTTGTAACAAAATCGTGTAAATTCAATTGAAAAACGCGTTCAAATTCGTTCCAGAAGCATTTTCACTGTGATAAACCGTTGAGTTCGATTTTTCCAGTTTTAATTACGAAATGGCCGCGATGTCAGTCATAGGAATCGACCTAGGAAACGAGTCTTGCTACATTGCCGTTGCGAAAGCGGGCGGAATCGAAACCATCGCGAACGACTACAGTTTGAGAGCCACCCCGTAAGTATTTCAGCCCCTTGCACACAAAAAAACCTCACTAAATTATCAATTAGTCATTATAATAATGACCCCTAATGGATTTCAATTATTCAACCTTGACCAGTAGTAGTAATCGTCCTTATATGGACTTTTTTCGGTTTTTTTAAATTCAATTCCTCTCGTCTAGATCCTATGTGGCCTTTTCTGGAAAAAACCGAATACTTGGCGTGGCCGCCAAAAACCAACAGGTCACCAACATGAAAAACACCGTCTACGGACTCAAAAGATTGCTAGGCAGAAAATTCAGAGACCCTCACGTACAGCAAGAAATGCAGTGGCTGCCTTTCAACATTCTCGAGGAGAAAAATGGAAATATTGGCATCAAAGTGAATTATTTAAATGAGGAGCACATTTTTTCTCCTGAACAATGTTTGGCCATGTTATTGACTAAACTCAAGGATACAGCTAGTGTGGCTTTGCAAACCCCTATCAACGACTGCGTCATTTCAGTCCCTTCTTATTTCACCAACAATGAAAGGAAAGCTCTTTTGGATTCAGCTTCAATTTCAGGCTTAAATGTGCTGAGATTGTTCAACGAAACAACAGCCACTGCTCTGTCTTACGGTATCTACAAGCAAGACCTTCCAGCACCTGAAGAAAAACCAAGAAATGTAATTTTTGTTGATTGTGGCTACGCTTCCTTGCAAGTGTTTGCTTGTGCATTCCACAAAGGCAAACTGAAAATGTTGGCAACCAGTTCTGATCCTTATTTAGGAGGTAGGGATGTTGACAGACTTCTGGCCGATCATTTCTGTGCAGAATTCCAAAAAAAATACCACATTGATGCTAAAAACAATGCCAGAGCTTACATAAGATTGTTGGCTGAAGTAGAAAAAATTAAAAAACAAATGTCTGCCAATTCAACCACCTTACCTTTGAACATTGAATGTTTCATGAACGACAAGGATGTCAAAAGTGAAATGAAGAGAACAGACATGGAAGCTCTCAGCACTGGCTTGTTCCAGAGAGTCGAAGACACCATGCGCAAATGCTTGGAACAATCTGGGTTGAATGTGGCTGAAATTCATGCTGTCGAAATTGTTGGAGGCTCCTCTAGAATCCCCGCTATCAAGCAGCTGATTGAGAAGGTTTTCCAGAAACAGCCCAGCACCACTTTGAACCAGGATGAAGCTGTATCTAGAGGGTGTGCTTTGCAATGCGCCATGCTATCGCCTGCAGTCAGGGTCAGGGAGTTTAGTGTCACTGATGTTCAGGTAAGAATTTTTTCTTTGGGATTTTTTTGTGTGTTAAGGCTTGTTTTTTTATTTGTGGCTCAAAGTACATAAGGTTAGTATCATTCAGAACTTTGAAGTATCTACAGTTGCTAGAGGTGTGGCAAAAAATATAATTGTGAGTGGAATAGGTACTCTAGGTACAAGCCAAGAAAATAGGAAAATATTATTGAAGGGTTGTTTCTTATATTTATGGACAACCAGGGCTAGGACTCTGTAACAGATAGAGATCGTTATCCCTATCGCTATGGTACTTGCTGTCTTCTCTCTTTTCGAACTCAATAGAGAGGGGGCGTCAATAGAGATAGAGAAAAGTATCTCTATTCATTACAGAGTCCCAGCCCAGTTCTTCAAAAAATGTAGATGATTTTGTTGAAGTTCTATGACTTCTTGGCAATCAATGTAGTTTCCAAGACTGACTTTATTTCATGGACTTATGATCCATACTATGGAAGCACCAACAATTTACAAGATTGCTGGAAAATTGTTGATAGTAAAAATAAGCTGTGGTAAAAAACTCCACTTGGATTCAAATCATTTATTTTTCACAAATTTGTATACATTACAGATTACAGTAGTGGTTTACAAAAGAAGCTCTCAAATCAGTGGCTTTCTCAAGAGGCAAATTCATTAATCAGGGTTGTCCAATTTAGACAATCTCAATAGGAAACATCAATTTCTGAATGTGATACAAAAAAATGAACCTTTAACCCTGAGGCTGTGGTATAAGATCAAGGGGTAAACCATCTAGGAATTCTTTGCAAGAATGTGGGGAATTTGTGTGAAATTTAGAAGAATTTGTGGGGAATGTGATGGAACTCATCGGAATTTATGGGAATTTATAGGGAATTTGGAGGAATTTATGGGGAATTTGGGAGAATTTGTGAGGAATTTATGAGGAATTTAACACGTTCACTGCCAAGTACGAGTTAACTCGTAGTAGACAATCTTATTACAGGTACCAGCTACGAGATAACTCGTATTTTGCATCGTGTCGTTCAAATTCAAGTACGAGTATATTCGTTGTAAATACAGGCTAATGGGGGTGCCTGGCCTAGGGGACATGTATAAGAATTTCACACAGACATGGTTGAACAAAAAAAATAAATAAAAAATTTCAAACATGGTAGTCTTTGGTATGGTATGGTATTTTTTTGCAAAAATATGGGTCAGGTACTACTTTGGATGAATATTTTATGTTATTTAGACATTCTGATGATAAAATATAGTTTTTCAATATTGGCATTTTGGACCCGATCAACCGAAATCTCTCTGGCAGCGAATGTGTTAAAGGAAATTGTCAAATTTGAAAAATTCAAAATAATAATGAATACAGTTTTTGTAGGCTGATTTCCAAGATTTTTCATGTTGTTATTTTCCACTGAAAAAATTTGAAATTTTGGGAAAATGAGCTTATTCTCACCTTGCTCTCTACATGCAAAAAGTTGCAAAATTTTCCTTTCACTAGTTTTCCAGGATAACTTTGAAATGTGTGAGACTCGAGGTGAGACTGTATTTTCAATTAATTCAGTTATTGTAGGTTGATTTCCAAGATTCCTCATGTTGTAATTTTCTACTGGAAAAATTTGAAATTTTAGGAAAATGAGCTTCTCTCCTTCCTCTTTACATGCAAAAAGTTTGAAAATGTTGCCTTTACTAGTTTTCCAGGAAAACTTTGAAATGTGTGAGACTGTATTCTCAACTAATTCAGTTTTTGTAGGTTGATTTCCAAGATTTTTCATGTTACTGTTTTTCCGAGTGTTTTTCACTGGAACAATTTGAAATTTTGGGAAAATCATCTCTTCACCTTCCTCTCTACACGCAAAAAGTTTCAAAATTTTCCCTTCACTAGTTTTCTAGGAAAACTTTGAAATATGTGAGACTATATTTTCAATTAATTCAGTTATTGTAGGTTGATTTCCAAGATTTCTCATGTAATTTTTTATTGGAGAAATTTGAAATTCTAGGAAAATGAGCTTCTAACCTTTCTCTTTACATGCAAAAAGTTTCCAATTTCTCCCTTCACTAGTTTTCCAGGAAAACTTTGCAATGTGTAAGACTGTATTTTTAACTAATTCAGTTTTTGTAGGTTGATTTCCAAGATTTTTCATGTTGCTGTTTTTCCGCGGTGATTTACACTGGAAAAATTTGAAATTTTGGGAAAATGATCTTCTTACCCTTCCTCTTGACATGCAAAAAGTTTCAAAATTTTCCCTTCACTAGTTTTCTAGGAAAACTTTGAAATGTGTAAGACTGTATTTCCGAGGTATTTTGAATTAATTCAGTTATTGTAGGTTGATTTCCAAGATAAGTCATGTTGTAATTTTCTACTCGAAAAATTCGAAATTCTGGGAAAATGAGCTTCAAAACCGAGCTTCTACCCTTCCTTTTTACATGCAAAAAGTTTCAAATTTCTCCCTTCACTAGTTTTCCAGGAAAACTTTGAAATGTGTGAAACTGTATTTTCAACTAATTCAGTTTTTGTAGGTTGATTTCTAAGATTTTTCATGTTGCTGTTTTCTACTGGAAAAACTTGAAATTTTGGGAAAATGAGCTTCTCAGCTTCCTCTTTACATGCAAAAAGTTTCAAAATTTTCCCTTCAATAGTTTCTCAGGAAAACTTTGAAATATGTGATACTGTATATTTAATTAATTCAGGTATTGTAGGTTGATTTCCAATATTTCTCATGTTGTTATTTTCCACTGGAAAAATTCGAAATTTTGGGAAAATGAGCTTCTCAGCTTCCTCTTTACATGCAAAAAGTTTCAAAATTTTCCCCTCACTAGTTTTTCAGGAAAACTTTGAAATATGTGATACATACTGAATTTTCAATTAATTCAGTTATTGTAGGTTGATTTCCAAGACTTTTCATGTTACTGTTTTTCACAGGAAAAATTTAAAATTTTGGGCAAATGATCTTCTCACCTTCCTCTTTACATGCAAAAAGTTTCAAAATTTTCCCTTCACTAATTTTCTAGGAAAACTTTGAAATGTGTAAGACTATATTTTCAATTAATTCACTTATTGTAGGTTGATTTCCAATATTCCTTATGTTGTTATTTTTCATTGGAAAAATTTGAAATTCTGGGAAAATGAGCTTCTGTCCTTTCTCGTTACATGCAAAAAGTTTCAAATTTGTCCCTTCACTAGTTTTCCAGGAAAACTCTGAAATGTGTGAGACTGTATTTTCAACTAAGTAATTCAGTTTTTGTAGGTTAATTTCCAATATTCCTCATGTTGTTATTTTCCACTGGAAAAACTTGAAATTTTGGGAAAATGAGCTTCTCACTTTCCTCTTTACCTGCATGCAAAAAGTTTCAAAATTTTCCCTTCTCTAGTTATCTAGGAAAACTTTGAAATATGTGATACTGTATTTTCAAATAATTCAGTTTTTGTAGGTATATTTCCAAGGTTTTTCATGTTGCTGATTTCTACTGGAAAAATTTGAAATTTTGGGAAAATGATCTTGCACCTTCCTCTTTTCATAAAAAAAGTTTCAAAATTCTCCCTTCACTAGTTTCTCAGGAAAACTTTGAAATATGTGATACTGTATTTTTAAATAATTCAGGTATTGTAGGTTGATTTCCAATATTTCTCATGTTGTTATTTTTCACTGAAAAAATTCGAAATTTTGGGAAAATGAGCTTCTCAGCTTCCTCTTTACATGCAAAAAGTTTTAAAATTTTCCCCTTACTAGTTTTTCAGGAAAACTTTGATATATGTGATACATACTGTATTTTCAATTAATTCAGTTATTGTAGGTTGATTTCCAAGACTGTTCATGTTATTGTTTTTCACAGGAAAAATTTGAAATTTTGGGAAAATGATCTTCTCACCTTCCTCTTTACATTCAAAAAGTGTCACAATTTTCCCTTTACTAGTTTTTCAGGAAAACTGTGAAATGCGTGAGACTGTATTTTCAACTAATTCAGTTTTTGTAGGTTAATTTCCAATATTCCTCATGTTGTTATTTTCCACTGGAAAAATTTGAAATTTTGGGAAAATGAGCTTCTCACCTTCCTCTTTACATGCAAAAAGTTTCAAAATTTTCCCTTCTCTAGTTTTCTAGGAAAACTTTGAAATATGTGATACTGTATTTTCAACTAATTCAGTTTTTGTAGGTTGATTTCCAAGGTTTTTCATGTTGCTGATTTCTACTGGAAAAATTTGAAATTTTGGGAAAATGATCTTGCACCTTCCTCTTTTCATGAAAAAAGTTTCAAAATTCCCCCTTCACTAGTTTTCTAGGAAAACTTTGAAATATGTGAGACTGTATTTTCAATTAATTCAGTTATTGTAGGTTGATTTCCAAGATTCCTCATGTTGTAATTTTCTACTCGAAAAATTTGAACATTCTGGGAAAATGAGCTTCTAACCTTCTTTTTTACACACAAAAAGTTTCAAATTTCTCCCTTCACTAGTTTTCAAGAAAACTTTGAAATGTGTGAGACTGTATTTTCAACTAATTCAGTTTTTGTGGGTTGATTTCCGAGATTTTTCATGTTGCTGTTTTCTACTGGAAAAACTTGAAATTTTGAAAAAATGATCTTCTCACCTTCCTCTTTACATGCTAAAAGTTTCAAAATTTTCCCTTTACTAATTTTTCAGGAAAACTTTGGAATATGTATTTTCAATTAATTCAGTTATGGTTGATTTCCAATATTCTTCATTTTCAGGGAATTTGTAAGAGAAATTTCGCAGGAATTTTTAGAGGAATTTGTGGGGTATTTGGAGAAGTTCGTGGAGGGATATTTGGAGGAATTTATGATGGGGTATCTGGAGGAATTTGCAGGAATTTTGAGGAATTATCCTTAAAAAATTCCCCTTTGAGGAATTGTTTGCACCAATTCTGGGATGGTGGTTTACCCTTTGTATAAGATACTCCCCCCCCAACCTTCTTCTATGGACTCACAAAGTTTCAAATTTTTATCATTATTTGATTTTGAAATGAAAATCTTGATGAAAATTCAAATGTCCCATAATGCGTTTTTTTCTTTGAATGTTTTCCAAACTTGATTGTTTGGATATTTTCCAATTTTCAAGAAATTAAGTTGAGATTTTGCCATAAGATACTCCCAACCTTCTTCTATGGACTCACAAAGTTACAAATTTTTATCATTATTGTATTTTGAGATAGAAATTCAAATGTCTCATAATGCTGCTTTCATAACTGATAAAACAAGTTAATATTTTTTAAGAAAAATCTAAAACGTGATAAGTAAGTAAGAGTTTATGAAGTAGCTTATGAAGATTGTCCTTATGTATAATAGGACGAACTGGTAAAAATTTTGGTATAAGAATAAAAGAACATTACTACAGTTTTACTGCATACCGATATGAAAGACCCCAAGTTATGCAAATTTTCTCGATGAATCAAAACATAAATAAATCTCCTCTAGTCAACAAGTTGATGGTGCTAGAAAATCCACCTCTGTGTCTATAATTTATTTTGTTTTAGTTCAATGTAAATTAAATTCAATGAGTTTTTTGACAATAAATCATTTTCTGATTCTGATTCTCTTGGTAGAACTATCCAATTCATTTGGCTTGGGAAGCGAGTCCAGGAGGCGAACCTGCAGGAGACATTGAAGTCTTCCCTGCCAACCATGCAGTACCATTCTCAAAAATGCTATCCTTCTACAGGACAGAAGCTTTTTCAGTAAAGGCATTATACAATGGCAATGTGCCTTACCCTGACCACAACATTGGTAAGTGAATTTGTAGTCTTTTTGTCTTGAATCTGCAGGAAAATATTATTATACCAGATACCTAACTGGCCTGCCAATATCTGGGGTTGTAGTTGCATAAAACTAGATTATTTTAGGAATATTATTATACTCAGCACTTTGTTTATTTCCATAAACAAATCATTATATGAAAATTATTGCATTTTTATCTGTTTTCTACAGGAACTTGGGTAGTGAAAGATATCCGTCCGACCAACGACGGTAAACCGCAAAAAGTCAAAGTCAAGGCTCGCATCAATTTGCACGGCATAATGACCATTTCCAGTGCTGCTTTAATCGAAGCCAAAGAGGCCTCCGAAGTGGAATCTCCCGAAAACGACAAACAAGAAGTTCCACAACAACAACAGCAAAACGGCGAACAACAGCCGCAGGAGAACGACGCACCTATGGAGGGAGGCGAAGCACCTCCACAGCAGCAGTCGGCAGAGGTAGGGTCCGGCGCCAGCTGGACTAAGAAAATTTCCGCCTGGTTCAGCGGGGTACGCATTTTGATGCTGCCGGCCGCTGGGGCCGTCTGGCGAGAATCTTAGTTTTTGTTTTGTGTTTCTTCTTCATTTTGCTTGTCACTTGGTTCAATTTTGTGTCCTATTTGTTCATAAACTGATACAGCCAATGCAAACTACATAAAGAACTCTATTGACTTACAGATAATGAATAATGAATATTATTTGTTTTAGATTCACAATACTTCAAATACAATAAAGCTTAAACTTGAACCCAACTAAGAAGTTGATACAAAGTTTCTCACAATAATTTTTGATTCAACTAGTTTGCACTTGCTGTATACAAATGACAAAATTAACAAAAATCGAAATTATTTTCAGGATGGTGAAAAGGAAAAAAAGAAAAAACTAGTCAAAAGCGTCGATTTACCAATTGAGGCTCTCACTTTTGGCTTTTCCAATGTGGAAATCAACAAATTCACTGAGCAAGAATTCAAAATGATCGCATCTGACAAACAAGAAAAAGAACGCGCTGATTCGCGCAATGCCTTGGAAGAATACGTCTACGAATTAAGAGGCAAAGTTTCCTCAGATGACGATTTGGGTTTGTACATTTTAGACTCGGACAAGAACCAACTGATAAAGCAACTGGATGAAATGGAGAATTGGCTTTATGAAGAAGGAGAAGATTGTAATAAACAAGTAAATATTTATTTTATACAAATGTCAAATTTATTACCAAGTATCTATTCCAGGTCTACATTGACATGTTGGCTGAATTGAAATCTAAAGGAGAACCAGTGCAACAGCGCAAAATTGAATGCGACTTGAGACCGGCTATTGTTGAAGATTTTGCCAGATCTTTGCAACTTTGTATGAAGGCCTTGGAACTTATCAAGAACAAAGATCAAAAATACAGTCATTTAACTGACGAAGAAGTTGTCAAAGTAGACCAGGCCTTCCAAGACTCCTACCGATGGTTGGAAGTGACCAGAGCTAAATTGGGCGCTGCTCCCAAACATTTACCGCCTCCAATAACCATCGCCCAAATAAGACAGGAGAAGTGCAACTTTGACAACATTGTAAACGCCGTTTTGAACAAACCGCCACCAAAGGCACCGTCTCCACCTAAAGAAGACGCTAAACCTCAGCAGGAGCAGAACGAAAAAAAAGAGCAAAATCCTGATAACATGGAATGGTCGTAGATATGATGTAAATGTGATTTCTAGGTGTTTTTAAAATAATTTACTATAATAATATAACTCACTTTTTTTTTTTGATGAGTCACAGTTGGAAATATTTCCATTTAAATATAATTATTAGTGTTCAATCTTTGGACAATTGTTGTAATGTATGACGGATTCAATTTTATTTTTTTTTGCATTTATGTATTATTTAGTTGAAAATTGTTGTTTTTTTTTAAAGTTTTCTAAACGCTGGCCGTTGTACATGATCTTACTTAAAATAAGTAAATAATTCCCTTAAATTGTCCTACTTAAATAAATTGTATATGTTTGAATAAGAGGCTCACGAACCTTCTTCACATTGTAGAATAAAAAATTAATTAATTAAATTAAAAATTAATTGTTGCTTCACTAGGGTTTTCTCAATTGAAGTAAATGTCGCAGGTTGGCACTCACCTTCAAAGTTAATTGCTTATAATTTATTCTCATTAGTAAAGCACTACATTTTGCTATTTACTTTGGAAAACTAATTCAATTTTTTTTTTAAGTTGTTTGAATAAAACAATCTAATTTTAACATTTGTGGTTTATTGAATAAATCATCCCAGAATTTGAATCTACAAAAAAAAAAAAAAAATCAGAAGAGTAATACAGGTATCCTAGAAAATGAACTGTACCGAACATACAAATTATATCATTTATTAATTTGTATCATGCATATATATTTAAAAAAATTATCATAGTGACTTAAAAAAGCTTCATAAGGATTCTGCAAATCATTGAAAATACTTATCAAGAGTTGTTGCTGAAATTTTTCTGAGACTTGTTTCAAACTTGAGCCTTTATTCCTTCCAACTCTGTATGACCGGAAATAGAGCTCTACTAAGAAAACTGTTTCTTCAGTTGAAAAATATATAATGACGACGATTTTAACCTTTACTTAATGTAAACCTCATAACTAATGCCAAGTAAGCGAAATATGATCAATGCAACTTGCGTGCGCAATTACTCAGAGCTCTAGATTTCGGTACTATTTATTTTGGAGGATACCATATTTAGTAGGGAGTAAACAACTGTAGAGGGGACAACACAATTAGGTAGGTAATGTTTGATCTTATGAATAAAATCCATCTTGAGATGGAATGTTATTTTTGTTCTGTAGAGTGCCAAACGAGCAGGGATATCAACTTACATTTTTGGTTTTAACTGTGATATATGCACTAAAATAGTGTCGTACATGCATCAACCTACAAACCCAAGAAGTTCGCTGTGTGCCAAGCAAAACAAGAGGGTTAATGTTTATCTGCCAAAAATGCCTCAAAGATCAGGTAAAAGATTTAGATGACTCCAATACGCAAACCAATGGGAAATGCTCTGGAGCAGAAGGGTCCGTAGAGTTGCAATGGATCAGATATCTTGTTCAATCTGAAATCCTACCCCTACTAAATGAGAATTTCACGCGATATCAGGAACTTTTTATCTCTGCAGAAGTTACAAATAGGGTTTCAGAACGACTTAGTGAGTTTACATCAGCAATTTTCTGACATACATATGGTCATCAAGATGGATGGATTAACTAATACAATTCATGGCTCCAATGTAGATTTAGTTCGTACCCTTGCTGGAAATTTCATCCCAAGATATAATGGATCATCTCAAGGGGTTCCTCAACAAGGTGGGTCTCCTAATGTAGGTACGTTGTCCCAGATGGAGAAGGAGGTGACAGAAGCATCAATCAAAATAATCAAACTACCCAAGACTCTCGTTTTGGAGATGGCCGTTTTGTAAAAGGTCATAATATGCCCTTGAAGGGTCACACTACAGAATCCAGTGAAATATCGGCTGCTAGATCAATGCAACCTTTCATTCCTCGTTTCTCAACTAATAAAAATCAACCAGCAGTCCAAAGGCAAAATCAACCGGTAGCATGAAAGAAACCTAGTGGGGTTGAGATTATAGGGGCAAACAATAGATGTTTTTGTCGAGGTTTTTGCAACTCTATTCTCGATGAACACTGACACCAATAGCTTACAGACATATTTGAATAATAAAATGAATACCACTTCTACTAAATCACCAAGTTATTTGTGGTTCCAATCAATTCCGATGACTCCTGCTTGGTCCTTCCTAATAATGAATGTATTGGGAGTGGTGGTAGCCCACATAACAGTGAAAGAACATTCATATTCTCAGAATATTCTCTCAAAGTGCTTTTTGGAATGTTCTTTTAGGAATGTTTAATGAATATTCTAAGATTGTTTCGATTGAAATATTAATTTTTGAACGTTCTATTTATGTACTAGGAATGTTGCTTCTATGCACCTACCTGAAAGATTGTGCTAAGAACGTACTTTATATATTATATAACAATCTTTGAATATTTTCATACGAACATTATTATAATGTACCCTAAAAAATGTTCTTTTGGCTAATATCTCTATCAAGTATTAAGAATATACCTACCAAGTTGTGCTGAGAAGTTTATGTAGATATCTGGTGTTTCTGCCCAGCATAATGGAGTACAATAATCCACCCCTCATTAATTCTAATGATATTGTTGATGCGTTTGTCTCGCACTTTCAGTCCCCCTGTTATTCAAATCATGAAGATGTGGACTTGTCCAACAACAGCTATCTGTACAATTCTTTATTGTCACTTTGTTTTTTCAAACCTATCTTTAACGCAGAGGAAATAACCGAGAAGCTATCATCCTTGGATAAACAATCTAAGAGAGCAGGCCCTGATGTCATTCCACCCTTATTGTTGAAATCTTATTGCTCCTCCCTTGTGAAAACATTGAGAGCTCTTTTCCAAAGATCGATGGATGCAGGTTACTTTCCTTCCTTATGGAAAAAATCTTATCTTCTTCCCGTTTTCAAGGCGGATGATAGGTCGGTTGTCAGTGATTATCGTGGAATATCTCTTCTCTTTGCCATTCCTAAACTTTGAACCAAGTCAAAAATAGATCGTATAAACCCAAAGTCCATGTGCAACAAATTGTCTGATCTGGAGATCTTTATAGAAAATTCTAGAACGCAAATTATAACCATCATAGACTTGGATCCCCAAACAAATGGATACCTACTGGCTCACTTCGACATGAAATGTTTCAACTTTTTCTCCCGCTGCAGATCAAGGAGTGGCGGAGGAATAGTAGTTTATGTAGCTACCTGCTTTGGAGCTTGTGTATTGAATATCACCACCACAAACGAGACGGTTGAACAGTTGTGGTTGAAGATCAACATTGAGAAACTATCACGTGCTCTTGGCATAATCATCTATAGGTAGGTATCTACCCTATGGAGCATTTAAATGTCCATATGACTCAATACGAGAGCCACTATTAGCACAGGATATATGCATTATTACTGGTGACCTAAACACAGATCATTTGTCTCTAGATAGCTATACTGCTACAAGTATTTGACAAGAATTACTCAGGGGTCTCAAAAAGCTCTCGACTTAGTGCTGGTGAGTGATACTGATATATATCATAATCATATAATATGTGATACTGGGGGGATACTTTTCGAAGTGATATTGGCAGTAAAGATTTTGGACATTTGTATCTTTCTTGTGACATCAATTTAAAACTGTCGTTTTTTAGTAGTGTTATCAGAGCAAGGGGCAAACCACCTAGGAATTCTTTGCCAAAAATGTGGGGAATTTAGAGGAATTTGTGGGAAATTTAGAGGAATTTGATTATTTGAACGAATTCATCCGAATTTATGAGAATTTGGAGAATTTATAGGGAATCTGGAGGTATTTATGGGGAATTTGGGAGAATTTGTGAGGAATTTAAAGTCAAATTTAAAAAATTCAAAAAAATAATGAATAGGTAGGTACCTACCTACAGTTTTTGTAGGCTGATTCCTAAGATTTTTCATGTTGTTATTTTCCACTGAAAAAAATTGAAATTCTGGGAAAATGAACTCCTCACCCTTCTCTCTACATGCAAAAACTTTCAAAATTTTGCCTTCACTAGTTTTCCAGGAAAACTTCGAAATGTGTGAGACTGTATTTTCAACTTCAGTTTTTGTAAGTTGATTTCCAAGATTTTTCATGTTGCTGTTTTCTACTGGAAAAATTTGAAATTATGGGAAAATGAGCTTCTCACCTTCCTCATCTCTACATGCAAAAAGTTTCAAAATTTTCCCTTCTCTTGTTTTGCAGGAAAACTTTGTAATGTGTGAGACTGTATTTTCAACTTATTCAGTTTTTGTAGGTTGATTTCCAAGATTTTTCATGTTGTTATTTTTCACTTAAAAAATTTGAAACTCTGGGAAAATGAGCTTCTCACCTTCCTCTTTACATGCAAAAAGTTTCAAAATTTTCCCTTTACTAGTTTTCCAGGAAAACTTTGAAATATGTGAGACTGTATTTTCAATTAGTTCAGTTATTGTAGGTTGATTTTCAAGATTTCTCATGTTGTAATTTTCTACTGGAAAAATTTGAAATTCTGGGAAAATGAGCTTCTCACCTTCCCCTTTTACATGCAAAAAGTTTCAAAATTTTCCCATCTCGAGTTTTCCAGGATAACTTTGAAATGTGTGAGACTGTATTTTCAACTAAATTCAGTTTTTGTAGGTTGATTCCCAAGATTTTTCATGTTCTTATTTTTCGCTGGAAAAAATTGAAACTTTGGGAAAATGAGCTTTTCACCTTCCTCTTTATATGCAAAAAGTTTGAAAATTTTCTCTTCAGTAGTTTTCCAGGAAAACTTTGAAATATGTGAGACTGTATTTTCAATTAATTCAGTTATTGTAGGTTGATTTTCAAGATTCCTCATGTTGTAATTTTCTGCTGGAAAAATTTGAAATTTTGAGAAAATGAGCTCCTCAACTTCTTCTTTACATGCAAAAAGTTTAAAAATATTTTCCTTCACTAGTTTTCCAGGAAAACTTTGAAATGTGTGAGACTGTATTTTCAACTAATTCAGTTTATGTAGGTTGATTTCCAAGATTTTTCATGTTGTTATTTTCCACTGGAAAAATTTGAAATTTTGGGAAAATGAGCTCCTTACCTTCTCCTTTACATGCAAAAAGTTTCAAATTTCTCTCTTCACTAGTTTTCCAGGAAAAATTTGAAATGTGTGAGTCTGTATTTTCAACTAATTCAGTTTTTGTAAGTTGATTTCCAAGATTTTTCATGTTGCTGTTTTCTACTGGAAAAATTTGAAATTTTGGGAAAATGAGCTCCTCACCTTCCTCTTTACATGCAAAAAGTTTCAAAATTTCCTATTCTCTAGTTTTCCAGGAAAACTTTGAAACGTGTGAGACTGTATTTCCAACTAATTCAGTTTTTGTAGGTTGATCTCCAAGATTTTTTATGTTGCTGTTTTCCACTGGAAAAATTTTAAATTTTGCGGGAAAATGAGCTTCTCACCTTCCCTCTACATACCAAAAAGTTTCAAAATTTTCCCTTTTTTTAGAGGAATTTGTGGGGTATTTGGAGAAGTTCGTGGTGTGGTATATTTGGAGGAATTTGTGATGGGATATCTGGAGGAATTTTGAGGAATTATGCGTAAAAAATTCCCCTCTGAGGAATTGTTTGCACCAATTCTGGAATGGTGCTCCTTGTCATAGAGTTGTTCGATAAGCATGCCCCAAAACACACCAGAATATTCAACAAACCAAGTACCCGTTGAGACGATGTATGGATCAAGGAAAAGAAAAAAGCTTTTAATAATTGAAAGGAAAAGAAAAACGCAAGGTTCTAGATCTTTCTATATTGTGAACTAAAAAATATCGTTTCTGCGGCAATACAGCGCGAAGAAAGTGCTTACTATCGATCACAATTCAATGATGCGAGAAACAACACAAAATATCTCTGGAACACAATAAAGTTAACTCTTACTTGGGCCCACATATTTACAACATGATACCAAAACGAAGTACAAAAAGTAGGGTCTATAAGATAAGAAATCTTTGCAAAGATTTATTGTTGATTCACATCATGGACTAAAGTGTAGATTTTATTACATGATAAATAATTTTTTCTGTGTTATAAACAGGATCAGGTGTGTATGCAGTACTACTGCATACCTACCTTTTGTGCTGAATGTATTTTCTGATTTTCTTCACACAATAAAAAATAAACATCTTTTTATTTTATTTATTTATTTATTAACAATATAAATCCTAACTGCTTAAAGGTTCCTGTTCTATTGTAAGTGACACTGAGCATATTAAAATGTTGACTTGTTCTGGTGACGGACAAGCAATTTGCAGTTGATCGTCTGTAGTGTAACCTCCTTTCAATAAAACCTGATCAATTTGCATAAAAGCATTAATGATGTTATTTTTAATTGGCCGAAATAATATGAATTCGGTTTCTCTATTGGCCAAGTAAAGTTGCATGGACCTTTGAACTTCGGGAATGCGAGTTTTCATGTTTCTCTGAGCTTCCTTTAAGAGGGCTGAAATAGTTTTATTAAGAATAATTCAATTAGAAGTAAATTGCCCTTACCAGCAACATTTTCAGGTTTACCATAAATTTGTCCTTTAACAGTTAATTCATTATTTTGCACAGTCATTGTGTTTTCAACTCTAATAATTTTCAATATTTTTTCAGCTTTTTCAATCCAATCCATCGCATTTCCTATTAGTAATTTCGTCACATAAGCAATAAATGATTCGCAGCAATACTTCAGCTGCTTATCAATTTCTTTTCTCGAGTCCACCAAGTATTCTTTGACCTTTGGAGTGCCATCCAGCAAAAATTCCAACAAGGCGTTATTGCTGTTGAAAGAAAATATTTGATTTCGATGATGCAAAAGTTCGACTGCAGCTTTTTGTACGGTACTAAAATCCAAGCTAAGCTCTCTTGTTGTAAAATCCACTTGAAATGGAGCAATTTGCTCTCTGATAATAAGCAAGTGTTTGATTTGGAATAGTTTGCCATCGATAGGGGTTTTTCTTGCAGAAATCAAATCTGCAGCATTTTGCACTGTCCTCACGCAAACTATTAAGGCCTCTTGAGCTAAGCCTTGAAAAGTGTCTTTATCCAAACAAAAATACAATCTTGACAAACAGACAAGAGTCCTTTTAACAGTTGGATACCACATTCCGTGTAAATCAGCTGGAGAATTGCCTGTATAGGACCTCAAATGAGTTGGATGATTTATGTTAGCAACTTCTTGGGATTCTAAAGAAACTATTGAGGCCCTAGAATCAGGACGGCGTTCTCTTAATTCTACAACTATATTCTCCATTTGCAAAAGTTTTTCAGGATAAGCTAAATCGCCAGGCGATGGTTTATAATCATTCAAATCGCGCTTGAAAAATACATTAGTTCTAAACACTAAACGTTCTTCAACATCTTCAAGCAGTTGCTTAATAACGTCAATGTATTTAGTTAAGTGGGGGTCTTGTAAAACTTTTTCACTAAGCATTTCGTTTTTTAAAATGCTACACAATTCAGATAGTGTTTCAATATAGTTGATAAGAATGAGACAAGGCCTAAGAGTGTCGTATAAATACTGACAAAGTGATGCTAAATAATCATGTAGCTGATTGGAAATTGCTTTAAAAAAATAATTATAGCATCTTGCTTCATCTATGCAAACTTTTATTGTAAAAAGACAGCAGGCTCTAAACAAGGTACTGTAATCGTTTTTGTGTTTTTCTTTTAATTCGCTCAAAGCTTTTGAGGTAGCAACTTCTAAAATTGGTTGTCTTTGTGTAAAGTAACTTTTCTGACAATCGTATAATGTATTCTGATAGTAACTGTTTAAATCGTCTTTGACTTCTATATAATCTAAAATAAGCTTGACTTTCACTGAAGCACTTTGAAATTTTCCATAGTACAAAGAAAATATCGATTCACTTGTTGTGTCAGGGTTTTTTTGGATATTTTCAGAGCTTATCAGTTGCTTAGTGGTTTCACAAATAATTTCATTGATATAATTGTAAACGTAAGTTAAAGCTGTAGTTAAAAGACTTTCGTATTTCATTTTGTAGACTTTTGATTCTTTGAAGTTTAAGTTATTTCCTAAATAATCTATAGCATTATCAATGTTATTTAAAACATCAATAAATTCTTCATTATTTACTTTGCAATGACCAAGATATTCCACTGATTCTTGGCATTTAGAAAAATATACAAAATACTTTAGTTTACTATTGATATCGTGTTTTTTTTCTTTCAATACTCGCTGTTGCACCATTAATTGTTCACTCAAATGGTGCAAATAATTAGTTTTATCAATAACATTTTTATAAGTTTCTCTTAGGTCACCTACAGAATCAACAGTAGCCTCTGAATGTTTAAAAAGCGACTCGCAATTGGTCAAATGCCTAGTCAAACTTTCAAAATAAGCTTGAAAATTTTTCAAATTCTCGTGTTGGATTTCCTTTTCAACATTTATCATCCATTGAATGAAATCTTTGTTATTGTTGATAACAAGTTCTTGTTTGTCTACCTTTATCTGTTCTTGTGGTTCATTATCAAAGTACAAAGAATTCACTACGTCGCCAATTTCGTAGATCAAATCCAATTGTTCGTCGTTCAAAGGGGCCAAAGGGTCGTCCGACGATTGCCACTTGGCCACGTTATCTTGAATTTGTTTGTCGATTGGGTCTTCTAGAGGCTGAGGGGGCTGTTTCGGTGTCGAACGACTCATATTTTGTTGATGAGGCTAGTAGTTGGAGCAATAATTTAAAGTTTTTAACTTTTTTTTTTAAAAATGTAAACGTAAACATTGAAAAGTTGGGTTATGTTATTTTGACGCTGGTTGTCAGTTAGGGGCATGTACCGTTTTTTCCTTAAGGGGAGCAGTGTTACCAGATGGATTTTTTCGCCGACAGTAGATTGGGATAAAAACAAACAATAGATTTTCTTGCTTAAACGGTAGATTTTTAGTTAATGAATTTTTTGCGTAATATTTTAAATATAAAACAAAAATAGCTAATTTATGAATATGGAAATATATTACAATCAAAAAATTAAACAACTTCCACAGAGATCCCTGACGTCACCGCATAGACGGGGAGCGCTCTGAGAGCAGTGAAGCCGAAAATGCCATGAGTTCTGAGTTGGAGTGGAGTCAGAGCAGCTTTTTGTCACAATCATGACCACGAAGTTAGTGGTTAGAGCAAGGATTATATACACTACTACTACAGGATAGCCTATCCTCATGAGGCCTATGTGGAACAAATCCTCCCTTCCCCCTCACGCCAAATCACCAGTTATGACGTAGGCAGATTGGTATTTCTCGCCTTTTCTAGCTTGTTCAAACAGCTGATGACTTAGTTATGAAGTCAGAAATGGTGACACACCAATATTGCGGCGACTACCAAAAACGAGCCCGATAAGCAATCCTGTAAGTGTGTATCATCCTTGGGGTTAGAGGAGTTAGAGCACGTTCGCCTTGCTAACCGCGTTTACTCGAAATGCACGAAGTCGGCAACCAAAATTAAAAATTATTGCCCAAATTGAACAATTTTGTATTCTCCTAAAAACAGTAGTTTCAGTGGCGGCTCGTCAGAGGAGGCAGGGGAGGCTAAGCCTCCCCCAAAAAATTGAGTCCGAAGGGTCGGAATTATACGCGAGCCCGAAGGGCCGGAGTAATACAAGCCCGAAAGGGCCGGAGAAATACCAGCCCGAAGGGCTGGAGTAATACGAGTCCGAAGGGCCGGAGTTATACGCGAGCCCGAAGGGCCGGAGTTATACGCGAGCCCGAAGGGCCGGATTTATACGCGAGCCCGAAGGGCCGGAGTAATACCAGCCCGTCAAAATTAACTCTGAAAATATATACTATATATAAGAAAAGAAACATTTTCTCGAGTATTCATGGTTTTTATTGAATTTAAAATAAATTATTGAGGGCATAAGCATCCCAAAACAAATTTTGCCTACTGCGCAGTGGTTACCTACTTTACTGTAATTAATTTTTTTTTAGCCTCTTCACTTGAAATAGTCACGAGCCGCCACTGAGTAGTTTTAGAAGTTGAAACAGTAGAACAGTTGATCAAGGATCAAAACAGTAGATCTACTGCTAAAACAGTAGATCTAGCAGCACTGAAGGGGAGTTTATCAAATAGCGTTTTTCATTTGTCGAAATGTATCGTTATCCTTACATGTTACATGCTTTTAGAAAAAGATGCGGATACACTCAGTGAGCAATGATGACAAATGGAAATCGCCATTAGAGTGGCCTTTTAACAACCAGGGCTGGGACTCTGTAACGAATAGAGAAGTTGCTTTTTTTCTGCACACTCTCTTATCTTTAGCTAACTTTGAAAATCTTAGCTGAGCTTTGTTGTAGTTCAGCTTAGGTTAGCTAAGATAGGTGTATAGAAAAAAAGCAGCTATTATTTTCTCTACCTATCTCTATTGACGTCCCCTCTCTATTGGTTTCGAGAAGAGAGAAGAAGACAGCAAGTGCCATAGCGTTAAGGAGAACGATCTCTACCCGTTATAGAGTTCTAGCCCATAGGGATGCCACCTTGGAAAGTTAGTTGAACCGGAGAAAAAAAGACCCTTATTAAAAAAAAAGCTGAAAAAAAAAACCCACAAATAGGGATGCCACTTTTGAAAGTAAGTTGAACCGGAGAAAAAAAAAACCTTTATTGAAAAAGTGAAAACTGAAAAAAGAATCTTACAAATCTGATAACAGATGCATTATTAGTTAGTAGTTAGGTACACTCTATCTATACAGCAGTCCCCCCCGGCATCACCGGAAGATGCTTCAGGTTGGGAGTTGAGACGGTTGCAGAGGGAGATCCAAGGATATTACACACTACATAACACAGAATAAGACAACCATAGGATAGCCGCATATAGCCTCTGGGCTCTGTAGATCAAATCTCAAGCCCCCATCACGCCAAAGTACCAGTGATGACGTAGACAGCGTGTCGTTCCTTGCCTTGACGTAAGGTGTTTGCACCACAGGCTATGATTTTGCTGACTTTGGCTTTATGCATACTTGGGTTTAGTAAAAGCAACATTCTAAACCAACCCTTTTCAGATCTCGTTTGCATCTTCCTCTTTGCCTATTATGTTATTCAGAAATAAACTGTGGTAATATTAAACTTTGGTAATATCCTTGAGGGAGAGCAGGAACAGTATTGCGCTGTTACTAAATCTAATTTTTTTTTCCTGGACATATGAATTATTTTTACGCTTTTTTTCTGTTAGATGCGGTTTTTTTGTTAAATGCGGTTTTACCCTGAGAAAACACCTCGTAATCCGGAGCCCGGAGACCATATGTGAAAACCCGTAGACTCCGGGTGAAACCCGGAGAGGTGGCAACCCTAAGCCCAGAAACTTTTAAACTCAGCTCCTCAAATTTCAGTTACTATATGCGTTGGCCGAAGCTTCAGAATGAGGGGTGGTTGATGAATAAATTGTTGAAGACCCCATAGATAAACAGACAATTAGGGGCATGTACTGTTTTCTCCAGGGAAGTTTATCCAAAATGGCTTTTGAAAAATCTCGAATGAAAATCGTATAACAGGATGTTATCGCCTTTTAATTACTCAAAATACTACGGCCACAGCAAAAATTATTGATCAAAAAATCCCTCAAAGCGCCCAGCGCCCCTACCCTGCAACCATGACGTCATTTCTCTTACAGAGACATGGCTGTTTCCGGGTCTTCCTTAACGAAGAATATTTTTGAAATAGCTACAGAGTGTTATTTCGTCATGACCGAGACTATGATATGCTTGGTCTTCGGGTGGTAGGAGATCCTTGGTTGCGGTATCTTCAGATCTCAATACATTTGCATTTGATTCACCTGCACTTGCCCTCTTCGAAGATATTTAGGTGCACATTGCTCTCCGTGGTTTGATGTTGTGGTTGGTTGCGTCTACATATTAGTTCTTTTCACTTGGCTGCGGTTTAACTAACCGGGTTATAAAACGGTTAGAGAAATGACGTACGTTTTCTAACCCGGTTACAAAGTGACGTGATGGATACCTACCACTCGAATTTGAGCGGTATGATGCGGTTTGTTAAACCGGAGCCACGTGAAAAGGGTTATTGCCTCAAACTCTGCTGTCAAAACAGGAATTCATGAACAGGGTTGAGGTACTTCGAAACAAGTATCACAGAGCAGCGTTTTTGATAGTTGGAGACTTCAACCTTTTCCATATAAAATGACATCTTAAGGAATGATCCCTGGGGCCTTATTCTGTAAGGAATGAACCGTTCGATTCGGTAGAATTTCTTCGATTGTGACGTCAGTTTCGGTTTGCTAGCGCGGAAGCTATTCCGAAAATGCCGAAAATGACGTCACAATCGAAGTGATTCTACCGAATCGAACGGTTCGTTCTTTACAGAATAAGGCCTCTGGTCCCAGCACAATCGAGAACCTTAGCTGAAGAAACTTTCATTGAGTCAATGTACTACTTGGAGTTGCAACAGGTCAATCATGTTAAAAATTCTTTGGGCGGGATCTTGGACTAAGTTTTTCGTAGATTTTTCGCAGCTTCTAATTTTCGAAGTTTCGTTTCTTTTTGCATTTCTGTGTTAGATAAGTACTACTACTGTGTAGCCTGTTCAGTAATTTATATAGGAAGTTTTTTAAAAAAACGAATTAGTTTTTCAAGTTACAGTGCTGAATATGGATCCTACAGCAAAAAAAGGTTGTTAAGCAAATACCTAATTATTGTCAAAGGAACAAACGATCAAATCATTCAGAACCTGATCTACTAGATGAGCATCAGCACCTGAGGCAGCATAATCCTTTCTCTAGTTCTACGTTTGCTTGTATGACTGAGAGGGCATCTTACTTGGCTACTTAAGATTCTATGAAGATTCTAATCAGTTACCTACCTTCTATCGTTCTACCTGAACAAATTATGAGCACGCATTAAACTCCTCAGAAAAAGGAACTTTCGAGCAAATTGTTGATGCAAGTGTTGGATGTCAATTTACAGTTTATAGGTAATTCGAGTAATACCTAATTATTAAACCAAAAGAATTTTATTTTAGTTCCCACTAGTTTAGTTTAGTGGGATGTTCTGTGCATGTTCGTCATATCCCACAACAATCCCGAAAATACCTCCTACTATGTGGGATGATTGATATTCCAGGAATCAGGGACGGACTGAGTTCTGAACTTACGGCAGGCGATTTCCCACAAGGGGCGCCATCACCAAGAGAAAGTTGAAGTAGGTATAGCTTCACTTGAGCCTGGGAACTTTTTCGATACCGTGGGAAAATCGGCGGATTTTGTTGGTTTTGTACTGGTTTTATGCTGGTTCAGCTGACTTTGTGCTAGTTTTCTCTGGTTTTGTGCTGATTTTCACTGTTTTTCACTGGTATTATGTTGGTTTAGCTGGTTTTGTGAGATTCAGCACAAAACTTGCTATTCCAGCAATCAACAGAGAAAACCAGCAAAATTCAGCAAAAAAACAGCTAAACCAGCCTGAAACCAGTGAAAACCAGCACAAAACCAGCAAAATTTTCCGATTCTTCCCACGGTATCGAAAAAGTTCCCAGGCTCAAGTGACCCTATACCTACTAGTTGAAAGCTAGGCTAATCATATGTTATCGACAAGAATGAATTACGATATTTGTTTCCCAAGAAAAAAAAATCAGCATTTTATTGAGGTTTTCGCTAGTCTTAGCTACATTATGTATAATTCCGTTTGATTGATAGCCTATAACTGCAATAAATACAGTTTTTGCAAGACTTGCAAACTGTTGCACTGGTATTCTACTCTAATCTTCACTAGAACGAATACAAGAGGAAAGCGCAAG